GCCCACCCCACCCGGGAGGGAGCGGCTTGGAGGAGGAGGACTTCTCCCGGCAGAGAGCACTAGGAGGAGGTGGAGGGGGCTCCTGGGGGTGTGGACTGCGTGTTTCAGCGAGGGGCCTTCTGGGGTGGCGCTGGGGGCTACCTCTGCCTGTGTCGTGGATTTCTGGGAGAGTGGTGGGTGTGTGTGAATGTGTGTACACGCGTGTACAGCAGATCCCTGTGAGTGGGGGGGGCTCCTTCCCTTCCTCTCTCCTCTTTCCTGCTCCTGGAACCCTTGGCAGGGTCTGGACTCGGGGCGGGGGGGTGCTGGACACAGCAGGGGAAGCTCTAGAGTGCCACACTCACAGGCACACACACACACTCGCACACAGCCAGAGAAACACCTGTGCAGCCACACACACCCCCCCCACCCCGTCTCAGGACCCCCACAGAGCTCCCACTGAAAGTCCTAGGCAGAGCCCTGCAGGCCCAGGCTGCCCTGCACGCAAGCCCTGCCCAGTGAGGGTGGGGGCTCTGAGCCTCCATCTCCTCACCAGCCAAATGGAGTGATGAGCGGGGGCGGGGCGAGGGGTGCTCCTGCGGACTCCTGGAGCTGGCTGACATTACCAGGTGCCAGCCCTGCCATGTCACTCATGTGTTCAGCATTCCTGCCCAGAGTCGGCACCTGCCTGGTGCCTGGCCTCAAGGGGGATCTGGGACACCCAGATAGGGCCCCAGCTTTGAGGAACCTTGCCCAGTCAGGAACAGGGCTGCAGGGTGCCCAGGCTGGATCTTTGAGGAGGGCCTGGGGGTCTGAGGTTCAGCCGGGACGAGGGGTGATGTTTGAGAGGCCCTTCCGTGCTTCAGTCTCACCGCCCAGGTGCCTGGAAATGACCGAGGGTGCCCCTGTCTCGTTGCTTGGAGGGATGGGGGTGGAGGGCATCTGTCCTTTACCCTAAGGCGAGGACAGAGGGTGGAAGGGTCAGAGTGAGTATTACCTCCTCCTCCATGGCTGACCTGGCCCCAGCAGCCCTCCCTGGTGTCGGGAAATGTGCACATGTTGCTGCCCCTCCCTGGGTCTCCGCACCCTCCTTGCTACAACAAGCCAGTGAGATTGGGGTGGGGGCCACCCCAGACCCTGGGATCCTTCTCAGGCTTTAAAGTGCTGGTGGGCCAGGCACCGTGGCTCGTGCCTGTAATCCCAGCACTTTGGGAGGCCGAGGCGGGTGAGTCACCTGAGGTCAGGGGTTCGAGACAGCCTGACCAACAAAGTGAAACCCCGTCTCCACTAAAAAATACAAAAATTAGCCAGGCATTGTGGCAGGTGCCTGTAGTACCAGCTACTCGAGAGGCTGAGACAGGAGAATTGCTTGAACCTGGGAGGCAGAGGTTGCAGTGAGCCAAGATCGCATCACTGCACTCCAGCCTGGGCAGCAGAGCGAGACCCCATCTCCAAAAATAACAAAAAGTGCTAGTGAATCAGTCCCCTTAGGATCTGGTTACGGTGAAAGGTCTGACTCCACTACAGTGCAGAGTAGGTGGGACGTCCTGCATTGCAAACAAGCGCCTGCAGGACCCCCGAAGAGCTCCTGTGAATAGCAAGGTCTTAGCACACAGGTGTCAACATTGTGCCTGGGAAGCTTTAAATATGCTGAAATCAGAGCGGGCCTCACAACAGCTGATTCAGTCACCCTGGGGTGTGGCCTGGGCTGAGGAGGTTTGAAAGCTCTCCAGGTGATGGTGTTGGAATGGACGGAAAGCTGCCTTCGAGCCTCAGCCTGGCAAGCGGCACTGCCAGCCAGACCTTGAGGGAAGGGGAGCAGCTCTAGCCCAGGGATTTGGATGTCACTGGAAAGGCAGGAAGAGGAGGCACCTGGTCTGTAGGTTCAGGCCAGCCTTGGAGCTGCCCTTCACCCATCCCTGCCTCATGCAGCCAGAACCTCGTCTGTGGCTGCTTTTCTGTTTCTCCTCCTGCACCCCAAAATTAACACAGTCCTGTCTGTGGCTGGCATTGTCACCAGGCCTTGCAAACACCTCCGTCGGACTTATCCCAACCTGCCTGGAAACACACCAGGGGTTCTGGAAGGACTGCAGTGGTAAAGGTTGCGGCGCTCCCTGGGACACTGATTCGGAGTGTGGTTGTATGCAGCTGAGCGTTTGGCGGTGGTTGAAGCCGCGTGGACTGATGACTGTGGATGTACACCTGCAGGGATGGCCGTAGGCCTGCGTGTGTCTGTCAGCATGGCTGGGGGCAGGCTGGTGGTACTGGCAGCCGCTTCCGCGTGGGCAAGGGGAAGGCCTCTGCCTGCAACATCCCTCTCCCGTTGGCCCTGGATCCCAGCCCAGGGATGGGGAGAGGGAAGAGGGGCTCAGCTTCCCAAGACCCTAAGCTGCTGCTAGGAGAAGAGAAGGATCCCAGTATCCGGTCAGAGGCCGCCGGAAGGGCTTGCCTCTCCCTGGCCCAGGGCTGACTCAGCCTCTCTTTTCTGCAGATTTTCCGCCGTGCGGACAAAAATGGTGAGTTTCCCTTCCAGGCAGTCTGCCGCCCCGCTCCTTCTGTCCTTGTGCTTCATGGGGAAGGGATCAGGGATAGGAGACATGTGCAACCTTGAGCCTAAAGGCTTGGAGCGCAGGGGTCTGAAGTTAGAAGGCCAAATCCTTCTGCTGCTCTGTGCCTCAGTCTCCCTATCTGTAAAATGGGAATCCTAGTAGGGCCTACTTAGCAGGGACACCTCCACTCGAGGACTCAATGAGTCATGTCTGTGATGCCAAGAACAATGGCTGGCTGTGGTAAGTGCTGGGTGTACTTTAGGCCTTTTCCTAGCTGGGTTGGACCAGAGGAGCCCAGGCTAGGGCTCAGAAACCCTCCTTTAAAGGAAGCCCCCAGCTTCACGCTAGGCCCTTTACAAACCTTGGTGCACTTCTTTGTAGCAACCTGAGCAGTCAGTGCTCTTGCCTCTGTTGACACCATAGCGACCCAGAGAGGTTAAGCAATATGCCCCAGGGTTGCCCAGCTGCATGAAAGAAGTGGAGGCTCTCCTGCAGACCCGGGCCCTTTTCCCCTTATCCCTCAGCCTCTTCAAAACGGTGAGCAGCATCTTGTGGCCACGGAATTCACAGCACTCCACTTCTCCCGACTCCTTGGAAGGGCTCCACTTGGAGAAGGAGCCCAGGCCTTGAGAATAAGCACGGTTAGGAAGGCCCAGCTGAGCCTCAGCTAACACAAAGCAGCACGCCTTCTTAAAAATACCATACAGGTGCAACGCCACTCACCGTGGACTTTCACCAAGACACATTCCCTCTGTGGGCCTTGGTTTTCCCGTGGGTAAAGTGGGGCAGTAACACTTGCCCTGCCTCTTTCCCTGGGTTTTGGGGAAAAGCCAGAAAGGGGGTGTAGGTGACAAATGTGTTTAAAGAGAATTGAGTGCTCCTGGTGTGTTCATTCATTGAGAAAATCCACATCAAGTACCAAGCCTGTGCCAGGGGAAGAGCAGGCAACAGAGACCCTGTGACCTGCCCCGGGGCCCTTGGTCCTCAACACCTGCACAAGCTGGAGTTGAGGATGGCAGCTCTGGCCTGGGTCTCCAGCACTCGCCTCATCCCTGGGAGTTCCTGTTGACGGCTCGCACCCAGGGCGGTTGCAGGGTGGAGTTGGAGGCCTTGGGTGGGGGTGGAAAGGCAGTGCACAGGCCTGGGCTGGAATCAGTTCCGATAAGTCTCCCATCCTGGCCTCCTGCATCCCTGGGGGTGATGGTGACCACTCCCAGGCTTCTGGGGAAGAAGGACCATCAGCAGTGATTCCCCATGGAGGAGAGGAGGAAATAAGAGGGACGTAGGGAGATGAAGTGGCTCTGGAAAAACAGCCGTAGCACCATGGCCTGAAAAGCCTTGGAGATGAGCCAGGGGAAACGGGAGGCTGTCCCTGAGATGGGGTCACTGGAACCCTCAGCGTCATTGCCTGTGTGCTGGTCTGGCTCCTCCAGCAGGTTGAGAGGCAGGAATTTGGGTTTGTCCCTTGTCCTGGGCCCGATACCCAGCACACAGTAGGTCCTCAGTAAATGTCTGTAGACTTGGTGGACGTGTTTGTTGGTGAGAGAGTAGCTGTGCGTATCTCGGTGACTCAGCAGCGTGCAGCTGTTGGCAATGCGTGTGTCCAGTGTGGGCCTCTAGCCACGGCTGTACATCCCCTGTGTGTGTGTGTGTGTGTGTGTGTGTGTGTGTAGTTTGTGTGCAGAGCATGTGTGGGCCTCTAGCCATGGCTGTGCATCCCGTGTGTGTGTGTGTGTGTGTGTGTG